TGTACATCAATTGAACACGGTTATATATACAACAACGGTTGTATACCGTGGCTCGATTTAAATTCGAACAATATTACAAGATATCCCATACTTTGTACAAAAATTCATTTTTGCGAATATATAAAAGCGCAGAGAATCGCTATTCCTCAAGAATGAAAGACCTTCTTGATTTGCTTGATAACCACTATAATACAATGGTTTTCTTACTTACAACGATGTAAATGTTTCCTATACATTTGGAATAGCCTCTAGCGCGCGCACGCGGTTGTAATTAGCAATATGCGCCACTATTTAATAGAAATATTCGAGGCTACGTATATAGGATGCCCGTTTCGAGGGTAAATAACTGTATAACTGATAAAATATCTCGTATAATTCTAATTACTAACTAATTCAATTTGCCTATATTTTTTGCGCAAGTTGCTTACAGAGTCTTTGAATAAAACAGGGTCAAGCCTCATATTAGATCGTAACAATGGCATGTACCCGAAAACGGCTACAAACGTATTCATACACGTTTGTCGTTGTATAAAGTGATCTGGGTCATTCCATGGAGATCTGAAAATTTGATGGATCAAATAATTCCTGAAAATGTTTCATGAATATGACACTTTGCTACGCAGGTAAAACAATAATAATGACAAGCGACTATACAAGTAATTTTAAACATTGACGAAAAAATAAAATTAAAATTAAAATGAAAACTTACCACGAAGAAAGCTCTATTTTAAATAGCAACAAAATACATACGATGATAGGTTACGAAACAAATAATGATAATGATAAAAAACACAACACTTTGAAAATAAATTGTATCATTAATCAAACATAAAACTTATAATTTAATGTTGATGTAACTGTTTTCACTTGTTGATACAAATAAAAACTGATATGAATACAATATACATTTTATTTTTTAATCTAAATTAAATTATTAAAGTCAAACGAACGTGCTCGTCACTTCAATGGCGAAAACTTCAAAGTAACGACTGTAAATCGATTATCGCAGAAGTAATCGATATTGTGAAAAATCGATTATACGATCTGTGATTTGATTGGTCAAGTTTAAATTTCAACATTCTTTACTTTGTTAATACAGTTATTATTGGTGGGAAATATGTTTGTTATAGAAAAAATAGAAAATTGCTGAACTATTTATTACCAAACGTTAAGAATATTCGGAAATCTTATTCACCTGCGTAGCAGTTCGATATAGGTACGTAATACATACCTGATTCCTGCCACTGTGGTATCTTTATACAACTTCCGTTGAGTTACTTTGATAGGTGGTCTTCGCGTTACATGACTTACTAAAAAATTCATAAGTATATCCTCGCAATTTTGAGATTGCTCGACAGTCTTGTGAAGCGTCGAACTCAGTAATTCGGTATACAATGTATTATAATAACGATGATAAAAGGCGGCACCAGTTAGAATTATACTATAATCATTTGTCCATTTACTTGTATAACCCCATGAACGCTTCAAATATAAGAAAAAAAAAAAAAAAAGTGTAAAAATAGATTAATATTGTAATATGTAAAATAATATGTAAAAATTAATGTAAAAATTTTAGAGAAAAAAAAATAAAAAAGTAAATATTAAAATAATTTACTTTTGAATCATCCCAATAATGTGATCTTGCTGGATAACCAACTATTCGATCAGGGAACGATTTCCATACCGTAAAGGCAAAATCAATTTCATCTGTATTGAGTGTGGCATCTTCGTCTAGAGATAATATGGCACTAGTTTTGATTAATGGATGAGGATAGAAACGTTGAGATATACCATCAACCGTGACAACATGTATTGATGCTTTGATCCCTTGCCATCGTGGTCTTCTTGGTAATGGAATATCCGAGTTCCACATAAGAATAATCTAAAATAGAACGTGTATTAATATCAAATAAAAGTAGTTATTGATTTACACGATTAACTTACCTTATCTAGATATTTACTTTTCGCGAGACTCTTAAGCAGCCGATATAAGACAGCAGTAGATCCTAACTGCGAATAGATGATGGCAGTGAAGGTATTACCTGGATTACTTTTCGAAAATGGAAGTTCTTGTTGACTATCAGCAAATTGTGGTAATATTGCTAATGCTCCAGGATTAGTATTCCAAACAAGCTTTTCTCTTGTACCTTCCCAAGGCAAACGCTCGCGAATATTCTATAAATTCGATAAAATGTTAAAAAATTAAGAAAAAAGAAATTATTTTTTTATTGTTTTACATAATACTATTCTAGATTATTATTATTTTTATAATATTACCTCAAATACTGTAAATACAATTTTTTCTATCGACGAAAAATACCGTTCCCAAAGGAATTGTGTTTGCTGCCGTAATTTAAGAATATGTACATTGGACACAGACCGCACTATATCTGGAATCTAAGAAAATAATATTTATACATAGATTAGTAGATTTATATATAGATATATATAGATAGTATATACATAGATTTCGCTTTTTATTAGATTTTATTTTGATATTATTTACTTGAAGTAACAGTCTTTCATCAGAAAATATAACAGCTTGTGTCCAATCAATTCGTTCGTGAAAAGGAAGTGCCCAACCATTACTTAAAATAACTGGAATGCATCCAGCTCTTAAAGCTTCTAAAAATCGAAAACTACCAAGTCTTCTTCCTCTTGGTACAAGACAAAAGGTAGCATTCATTAACAAAATTTCATAATCATACCTAAAATAAGTAAATTAAAAATTCATTTTTAAAATAATTAAATATAGAATTTAGTTAATTGTTAAAATATCTTTTCTTAATACTAACATATCATATTCTTGATTATCTTGTTGACAATGTTCATCTTGTAACTCTCTCCATGCTTTACCATGACGGCAAGTTGTAACAAATACTAAATCCTTGCCATTATGTAAATGATAAAGAGCATTTCTAGTTTCAGAACCTATACCATGGACGTATCTTTTACCTTTGAAAGCTGCAATGTATTTTTTATTATTAGGAAAATTATTTTCTAAAGCTTGTCCTGGTTCTCCACCACGTTCTGGATGTTGTTTTCCAAACAATGGAATAGATATATCAAATTCAGGTCTATGTCTAAAAATAGACATGCTGGCTTTTGCAAGCATAGCATATCCTAAATCAAAGGCTAAAGATTCTTCTGCATAATCAGGCCATGTTCCAGAATACAAATTAAATATCAAATGATTTCTGCCATTGTTCCAATATGGTAAACGCATTAATTTTGAAGGAAGATTATGCACAAATTCTGTTGATAATGGATCTCTATCCAATGTATCAAGAGCTAATACAAATATACATGCTCGAGTAGGATCTGATGTATAATATCTTGATTCTGTAATAACATTCAATATTTTTTGGTATAGTGGACTTATCACATCTTCAATTGGATACACATATACTGTGAAACCTTGCTTGCATTTGGTAAAGTCAAAACAAGTCTCCATACGGCATTGTTTTGTACGTTGAGACATAATTGGGTTTCCATTTGATGTTCTCAAATCCTTGTCATAGAATTCTTCGTTTAGACTTAAATATGAAGGCAATCGCTCATAAGGCAACTGAGATCTGCCTGTCCACTTTTCACTTTTTAATCGATAACCACCAAAATAACAATAACCAAGAAACGCACATGTTACAAATAATAATAAATAGCGCTTCTTGGCTTGCATTTTTAATGCAATCAGGTTATACACCAATATATACTAATTTTAAACATTATTTTTCACATATAGAATGCATGGCATTTAATCATAAATGCATTATAACGAATCTGTTGTTATTTTAATTGTATAAATACACAAATTCAAAAATTATTCCAAAATGAAATTGAATTCATTCTTAAAGATTGCTGAAATAGAATAAAAAAAAAAGATTATTGAAAAAAATAAGAACATTTTTATATTTACGTATACATTATTTTCAAATAATGTGATATACAATAAAGTTTCACACATTAATACTTTTAAATGCATCAACTGAATGTATCACATAGTTTTTATAAAATTTTGTTTACAGAACTTTAAAATTTTTTTTATGTAGAAACGTTGAATGGATGAAACACGTATTCAGTTACCTTCAAATTTGTATGATTCAACATTGGTTAACAGGAACGTTTCAAGAATTGTGCTTATTATAAAATACATGGCTAAGGACGTATTATTTTTAATAAAACGTCAGCTCTATATTTATATTTATATATTACATTACGATTTAAAAAAATGTCGAATTTAAATGACAGATTGTAAACGTCTATGGACGCTGTAAGTTAACCTATACGTAAATTATTACAGACGTTATTACACGAGAGCAACAACGTCAAACATATCGAAATCGAAATTCGATGAAAAAAGATTGAATAGCGATTCATACTATCTTATAATAATATTTATCTCGTTAGAATAGCACAATAAACTTTTTTCTTAGGTTAGTTCTGACATATATCCAATTCGCAGAACTTGCCGGCGTTATTACGCCCATTCGCATTTTCGGTCGGCGTCATTACACACGCGTGACATCGATCGGAAAATGTCTCCAAGTGCAAAATCATTGCACGCAGCGCATTAAATAATTGGTTTAAAAAGCAACACGAGTTATGCAATGACGTTGGAACGATTAGACTGGCAAATCGCTTATTGGTTACTTCATGCCCAGCTTTTCAAGATGTTTGATTGTGTGCGAAATAGTACTAACTACACTCCTACAAATCTAAACAAAACTGTCGATCAAGGTTATCCCGCTATCTAGTGGTCAAACAATAAACCTCCTGAACCGTTTCTCCCGCTTCGATTAAATTTATTAAAAGCACATATTTTTTTTATTGTAAATCAATATTCTTTAAGGGAGATGTGTAACTTAGCATAAAGCCTTTATGATATCAATCAGAATGAGGGTTATTGTGTTACGCAAGAAATTTGTTAGAGAGAAAAAAAAAAAAATGATAATAAATCGAAAATGATGGATAAAAAAATTGATAACATTTTTCATAAAATATTTACCCATAAAATTCCTTAAAAATTTTCTTTTCAATAAATATTTTTGTTTTTTGAGTTATTCCCCACGAACGTACTGCACACTATCCGAGCGAATAATTTACTGTTTCTAAGTCAAATGTTATCCAGTCATATAAGATCAAGCTATTACCTTGATCTGTTTTTTATGATTATTTTTTTAAATACATGTTGCTTAAGATATAATTACTATATATAAATATTTTTCAATGTGAAATCTACTTATCTATAATAAATATTCAATAATCTATTGATGCCAATGTGTACATTTAATAGAATAAAATATACATGTATTATTTCCTATTTTTATTATATTTTAATGATTTTAATGATTCATTTATGTAAATATGTTTTTCATTATTCTCAATTATGATTATTCATTTTAATTATAATCTTTTTTTTAGAATGACAGAAATAATTAAGATTTTAATTTAATAAATTATATTTTTTATAATTATATTATCAAAATTTAATAATAAGCTAATAATAGAAAATGATAATAAAAATCTAAAATAGAAACATGTATATATTTAATAATTAAATTTCATATGTAATAATAAAATTTAATAATTAAAAATAAAGAATCTTATATATATGTACATAAATAAATATTTAATAGAATGATAAAATTTATATTTTGCTCATAAGTTGATAATATAAAACTACTTTTTTTTGAAACAATTCATTCTGATGTTAGTTTATTATTATAAATTTAAGAGATTTTGATTTTTTATTGTCAGGAATCTTGATCTTTAATCTTGATTATCATCCTTTTATAGTTAATCCTTTTCTTATATCCAGTTCATATTCTGCTACTATTCATTTTAATTGTTGTAGGCTTAAAGATATAATTTAAAAAATGATTTAAAAATTTGTTTTTTATACGAATAAGTAAATATAATTAGTATGTAAAAGATATACGTACCTGTAAGTTTTTTTTTTATTTTACTTTTAATTTTATATTATGCTTAATTATGTTTAATAAAATTAATTTTTTAATAAATTTGGAAATAAATTAAACATATTTACTATGATAATCATTATATATAATATTAGGTTATATTTATATTTGAAATATGCTTAAAAAGCTATGTAAACATAAGATGCGTGCATTACTGCACGTGCGTAAACGGAACTGCTGAACTATGACGAATGATGAACAAGGTGTGCTGATTCGTTAGTTTCAAAAGGAAAAGGTCAAAGAGGACATATTCTATGAGAAATGTTTACAATACTGTGTTAACTCCAATTTAACCAATTATTAATCAGTTCTCTTAGTTAGGAAAAGAATGATTGGTTTGTAACAAATTTTGTTGGATATGTATAAGAAGATGAAAGCGACATCTACACGTTAATGTGAATAAGTAAAAACGTAAGAAGTCACAGATGGCTGTCTCAAATCAACAACCGGTGCAGTGAACGAGCGAAGTGACGCGGTTATGTACGCAAAACAATCGCGTCAGACGCGTAAAACATCGTGAAACATGTAAGGAGTTGTTATCGTAAGTGCCATCGTGTTGAATTTTACGTTTCTTTTTGTTTCACAATACGGCCGATTACTAGTGAAAGCAAAATTTGGCTCGATCCGCCGTTGTCTTTACGAATTGGTTTTATCGTCGGTGACGTACGGTTTTGGGGCACCGAGGCCAAACACGAATCGCTGTTCAAGGATGAGCGCGAACAATGTGCAAGCACTTTTCGCATGTTCCAGATGCTTTTCAAGGCATCCTTTTGAAGAACTTTCTCCAGGGCAACAATTGTGTAAGGTATTGCTTTGGATTTTAATATTTTTCCTCGGAAAATTTTCTTTACACTATTACTGATTCTTTTAAAGCGTCATTTTTCGTGTTTGTAAGATACGATGCTAATAATAGAACTTTTAATTCAAATATATGTTTCATATACATTAACACTGTTAACGAATAAAAATCTTGAAATAGGATTTAGATAAAAATTTGATTCTAATACAGATTCATTTTTACGCTCCAATTTAAGGATAATTGTACATATGTTTAAAAAAGTTAATTGTAACGTTTTAATTGATTTTGTTTAAAAAAGCCACATTTTGAAAAAATAATTATTTAATTTTTAATTTGATAAATATTTTTTTCTTATAACATTGTGTATTTTCTGTTTAAATTCTGTGTGAATATTAATCGACTTAAATTTAAATATATACAATATAGGTTGTTACAATAAGTTTTTTTTTTTTTAAATGAATTTTTACTATATTGTGTACTATATTGCTTATTTAGGAATGCAGAGGTGCATTTCCTGTGGTGAAATGTACATATTGTAGATCGGAATTCCAACAAACGATGTAAGCATCATATGTTATTTTACATTTCAGATTATAAGATATATTTTCAAAAAATTTTATTTTTTATTTTGTAGAAAGGGCAATACAAGCACTATTTGTAAGAAATGTGAACAAAATGTGAAATCTTATGGTAAGCCATCGGCCTGTGAATATTGCAATACCATAGCTGCATTTATTGGTAGTAAATGTCAAAGATGTACAAATTCTGAGAAGCGTTATGGGCCACCAGTTACTTGCGAGCAATGCAAACAAAAGTGTGCCTTTGACAGACAAGATGAAGATAAGAAGGTAATTGATTTTTGTATAATTATAACAAGAATTTTTTTGAATTTGAGAATAATAATTATTAATATCTTAAATTCAAAACAAACTCTTGTTATACAAGAACAATAATTATCAATATCTTGATTGAAAGGTTGATGGAAAATTATTATGTTGGCTGTGTACATTGTCATACAAACGAGCATTGGCAAAAACAAAACAATCCGATGCTGAAAGGAGGGCACATTTGAAATTAGCACAACAACGAGCAGCAAAGCACAAAGAACAAAAGTAATTATTCAAATACAAATAATGTCGCAAGGTTTGTGCTTAGTAGTTTTAATTGTGTTCATCACAATTTCAGTATCTCTTCGATTGTAACACAACCTGGTAATGTTCAATGTATAAATATTTCATACGAATTCCTAGTCAATTTAATTATTTTGCTTCAGATTAAAGAGTCATAATAAGAGACCACACAGAATAGATGTAACGAAGCTACCGCCTCAATCTGAAGGTGCGGACACAAATGGTCCAACACCGGTGAAAGCAGCGCGAATGGTTGGTGTCCATGATCCACATGATCCCAATAGTTCGGATCATGTAGTCGCCGTTACACAACTTAAGGAAAAGATAGCTCATCTTCAGAAACAAATATCTATTAAAGACGGGCAATTACTTGCTAAAGATAGACAAGTAAGTATAAAAAAGAAAAAAAAATAATAATAATAATTTGAAATATATTCATATAATACTGATATCATATATAATTATTTTTCGTTTTCTCAGATTACAGAATTGAAAGCAAAAAATTTTACATCAGAAACAGAGCTGCGTAATAAAATGAAAGCGACAGAAAAAGAGTACGAAGCCAAAATATCGACGATGCAACACAAGATTTCCAGTTTGCTGAAAGAAGTTGCTTCCTTATCGAAGAGTTCTAAGCGAGGTGATAGAGTAGCTGCCACAAAAACAGAAGCTGGGACCAACAGTGGAAGCGGAACAGACAGTCCTGTACCTTGATAAGGTAGGACATTTCACATCCTCATTATTCTTTGTCAATTAATGTTCGTACGATCATATTCTATATTTACATTTTAATTCGTCGACACAACATATTTATAATAATAAAATGTTGTAATTGAGTATATATTTAATGTTTGGAATGATGTTTCATTTGTGATTTAACGTTCTTGGCTTTTTAATTAATTTTATCTTTGATAAGAGCCGAACGTTATCAGGATTCCATTTTTTGCGCTTTTTTTTTTTAGTTGTGATCTATTATTTCCAAATATGTGCACAAGAATGTATTATTTTCGCTATCTTGTTCCTATATTTCCATACGATGTTACATTCTGTTGGAATAACTGTACGATATAAGGCTCATAGTTTTTTTTTTATTCCCAAATATTTTAATGTTATTATTGTTTTGCGATAGAAATTACGTGTCCGAACGATATTATTTTAATACGATGATCACAATAGTTTGTCATGAATTTTCTTTATCATTTTTTTTCTTTTTTTCGTTATGCGTTATCGTTACCTATATATTTTAGATTTGAAATTTATAGCACCGCCGATAATTATGCTTGTGCTCTTTGCGATTATGTAAGATAGCACGAAGTAAATTTTTCGGTGCGTGTTTAAAAAAAAATGTCTTTTTTAGATTTTAAAAAAAAAAAACGTATAATTTTTCTGCGAGATGAAAGAAGTCTTAACATTGTTTTCAGGGACTTGGTTAGCCGTGACAACATACTCAAATGTCCATACCCGCATAAATCATGTGGTACATTACATATAGCTAATTGTTTCCATTAACAAGGCAAAATCTGTATTATTTTTCTAATTAATATAGGAATATATATTGTCTTCGACGTGTACACGGAAAATCATACACGTTCTTCTTAAGGGGGATGATGATGATGATGATGATGATGATGATGATGATGATGATGACGATGATGCAAGTGCAAAGAAAGGTGTTATTCATAAGTTAGGTAGTTTCCCTCTTTCTGTTCCGTTTCACGACCATCCCGCAATCGCGAATTTTTGAGACTAAATATCGTGAAAAATTTGTTTATATTACGAAGAAACCGCCATTTCGAAATCGAATTGTACAATAATGAATCGGAGAGGCATTTGATCTCCGATAGAAGTGATTTTTAAATTAAAATTTACGATCGAAGTTGATACTTGCGAGAAATGAACAGAGTTATATGCAGACACATATACACATACACACACTATAATTGAGCAATAGTGCTGCTGTAACATTTTCCTATCTATAACGATGAAGATGTAACGACGATGAACCAGGATATGGTGATTGTAGATCAATTTACAATAAAAGGTTAAAAACGATATACCTCGCCTTATAAGTTGAAACATATCCTTGGACTTCCTTCCTGTTAGAAGGATCCGTCTTTCTATTCGATCGTCGTTTCACGCCGATAGTTTAGATTGACGGAAAACGACGAACGATTCTTAATTTTAAGGAGGGGTAACGTGAATGATTGGAATTAAAAGCTTATGACTAGAGAGAGAGGTGTGAATGATAGGTAGTGATATGTGCATATAAATATCCAACAGCCATATATTTATTCTTTATTTTAAGAAACAAATGCTAATTGAGCATTATCTATTCAATAATTGTAATGATAATAAATGCGTAACAATTTACTATATACGAAGTGTAAGGATAATTAACATTTAATTTATAGTCGTTTAAATACGTACGAGTGTGTACACGTGTGTACAGTACAGTTGGAGTTATCGTTTAATTATTACGAGATGGTAAGAACTAAATATTGCTTGTCTGTTGTCGAGGCGGTTAGTCGCTTGATTCTTCGTTTTATCTACTTTCAGCGTATTTACACGATCTTCTTAATTTTCCATTCTTTATACCGTTTTCATGTTTTTTGTTCTTTTCGCAAATTTAAATCTTACGCTCTAGGTTTATTTCTCTTCCACTTTCGCTCTCTCATTCTCTCTTTTATCTTTCGCTCCTCCGTTCGTTCGCTCATTCATCGTTCGTTCGCTTTCTTTCACACACTATCTTTCTTTCTTTCTCTTTCATCTCATTATTTATAATAGTGCGTTTAATGCAGGCAAGGTAGGAAATCGAGGCAATATACGGAATGACAATCGACAAAACGTCACTGGAAACCATTTCCTCAACTTCGATATCGTACTTTGAATATGTAAAAAAATATACGTGATCGATCGATCGATATAATCAACACTTTTGCGATCGCTGAAATTCAATTATATCATTTGTCTTTTAGGATTTATCATTAGATATATATATATAAATTGTAGCCAATATGATCATTGTGCATCATTGTCGTAATACACATGTCGATTATAATCCTATAGTTTCAATATAGTTTCAATATAGGCGTTAATTAACGGATGGTAGTAGTACGATCGCAAAAGTATTAAAATTAATGATTGGAATGAACGTCTGTTGCGTTTGATGAGTATAAAATGAATGAATATCGCGTCGAATGAATGTAAAATGTACGGTAGTTTCCAATGTCGTTTTCGCGGCATAGAATACATGCAGGCCTAAACTCACTACCGTCAAGGGAGGTCAACATCGTAGAATCTATCAGTCTGTGTTCTTTCCTACGATCTTGACGCGATTACGGTAGTCCTCAGCGTCCTGCGCGTGTCTCGATTAATCGATAGATCGCTATTATAGCGTACACATTGTATTAGAAAATTTTCATTTGGCCTAGGCATTCGGTAGAATGCCCGAGTCTTCCACATTGCCTGTTAATCTGTTAGCAAAAATCAGCATAAAGGCCTTGCGAATCGTATCGTCTCTTTCTCTCTTTCTCTCTCTTTCTGTCTGTCTGTCTGTCTGTCTGTCTGTCTGTCTCTCTTTTTCTTTCTCTCTCTCTCTCTTTTTCTCTCTCTTTCTCTCTTTGTTTTAATAATTTTCCCTTTGTTTCTTTTTTTCTCATTTTTTTCTTCTTCTGGAATACGGAGATTCGCCAAAATAAAAACTTTAAAGCTGCCTTAAACTTAACTGACGCGTCAAAGTATCGTTTGCCGATAGAGAATCTATGTGTTATTTAAAAAAGGACCCTTTTCACGTAAAAGAGTACAGCGAAACGGAAGAAACGAAATCTAAATGATCAGTTTTAAAAATCTTATAACGAGCACCATGATATTTCCAGGAACCATTGAACTTGTCACGTTCCAAGCTAAAATGGATAGATGATGGATAGATTGCAATTAGTGGACGCGGAACCTTTGGATTTTTCTAGGTTAATCGTTCACGCAAGTTGCGCGACGATTTGTACTTTTTTTTTTTTTATTTTTATTTTTTTTATTTTTTTTATTTTTTTTATTTTTCTTTTTCTCGAAACTGAGGCATTTAAGAAAAGAAGTTTTTTTGGAATATAAATTGTCATCAAACGCGGTCTGTGCTTCATGCCATTTGTTTCTTTTGCTTGCTTTGTTTTAATCGTATCTTTTACCCTTGAAGTCGTATCGCGATGCACTTAGATATATATATATATATTTTTTTCTTTTTTTTTTTTTTTTTTTTTTTTTTTTTTT